CCCCAAAACCCCAAAACCCCAAAACCCCTTGATGGAGTGTTTAAGTTAATTCTGGTAAAAAGTACAAATTTTAAAACAATTAAAAGCATTAATAATATTTAAATCAATGTCAAAGGCATTTTGGGTTTTGAATATTGCTGTAATTTTAATCGCAATATTTTTGTTCTCTCCAACAAATTAAGATGAAATAATAGATGAGCTGAATTTTGTAAGCCTAAAGGGAGGAGGTAAAGGAGGTGGTGGTAGAGGAGGCGGTAGTAGATCCTCATCTAGTTCATCTAGTAGGTCTAGTGGTTCGTCATCTTCCTCATCATCCTCCTCTTCATCAAAGAGTTCTAGTTCAACTAGTGCAAGCAGATCTGGTTACTCTGGTTACTCTGGCTATAGATCGCCCTCTGGTTCTTCTTATACTAGACCTTCTACATATTCAAGATCTAACTACTAGACGAACAGTAACTATGGAGCTGTCTACAACAATAATTATAGAGTGACAACGACTCGAACAACTTACACTTACACCTATTCTTATACTTATAGTCATCATATGGGCTTTTACTATTACTATTACATGCCTATGGCTTATTATGTAAGAACAAATAATCAACTAACTTATTCATCAGACCATTATGTTCTATTCAACAGTTCATTACCCATATCCATACTACTACTATCATCATCCAGTTCCAGTATACTCACCAATTTCTTTTTGGAGTAAGATCCATCTCTCAATGATTATAACTTTCCTTTAGCTTATTTCCTATTGATCTTTATTTTGACTTTGTTTATTTTATGCATTTGTATTTGCTGCTGTATGGAAATGTCTGAAAGCAAATATGATGATTATGAACCTATAGAGGGAGAAGTTGTAGTTCACGAGGAGGTCGTAGTTGAACATCATTATAATGCTCCACCTCCACCAGGTCATTACCCTTATGGAGAACAAGGCTATACAGATCCTAATAGACCACCAAATGCTTATGACGATCAATATTTTCATAATAGAGACGGTGGGGATTATAGATCACCTCCTCATCAAAATGACGATCCTTACTACAATAATCCTCCTCCATATTATCCTCCTGGAGAACCACCGTTCTACTAGAGACCACCATCTCCACCACTCTACTTTGAGGGGCAAGGCTATCCACCACTTCCACCTATTATCAGAGAAGTTCATGTTGAAGTTCAACACGAGGAAAGAACAGAGCACAGAGAGGAGAGTCATTAGAGATAAGAGCAATTTCACAGAGAAAACTATCGCCAGGATAATAGATATGATGATAGATACAACAATACTAATAACAGATATAGAGGACCAGAAGATATGAACAGAGATGATAGATTTAGAGGAGATAATCATTCCCCTGGGAGGTATCACGACGATTAATACAGAGGAGACAACAGATAGAGACCTAGAGATGATAGTAGAGGAAGATACAATCATCAGCGATCTGATGATGGGCATGATGATCATCACGACAACTAATAGCATAGTACTTAGAATCCATAAAATAATAACCCTAATCCAGGAGAGAGTAATTATAACTTTAACTGGGGGAGCCAACCTTAAAATTGGAATAGAAACTAAAACCCATACAATAATGACAGGTAGTATTGAAATTCACTTTTTTGAAAGCATAAAGAATTTCTTAAAAGCAATTAAATTTTATTCACTCATTTTTAAAATTATTTCTATTGGATAGTTGAATCATGGGGTTTTGGGGTTTTGGGGTTTTGGGG